GGAGGTTCCTCAAAAAATTAATACTAGATCTACCATATAATCCAGAAATCCCACTATTAAGTATATACCAAAGGAAAATGAAATCAGTATGTCAAAAGAGACATCTTTATTCCCATGTTTATTTTGTACTATTTGAATAACCAGAAATGAAGACAAGTGTTCATTGATAGATGAATGGATTTTTAAAAAGTGGTATGTATGTATGTATATATATACATGCGCCATGGAATACTATGCAGCTATAGCAAAGAATGAAATCCTGTCATATGCAACAACATGTATGGAACAGGAGGATATTATGTTAAATGAAATAAGTCAGGCACAAGCAGGTGCTGTATGATCTCACTCATATTGAATATTAAAATGTTTATCTCAGGGCTGGTGTTGTGGCTCAGTGGCAGAGCATTTGCGTAGCACATGTAAAAAAAATAAATAAATATTATAAAGGTGTGTTGTCCATCTACAACTACAAAAATATTTTAAGAATGTTTATTTCAGGCTGGGGATGTGGCTCAAGTGGTAGCGCGCTTGCCTAGCATGCGTGAGGCACTGGGTTCAATTCTCAGCACCACATAAAAATAAAATGGAGATATTGTGTTCACCTTAAACTAAAAAATAAAAATAAAATGTTTATTATAGTTCAGTGATAATGTGTGCTTAATATGTGTAAGGTTCTGGGTTCAATCATCAGCACCAAAAAAAAAAAAGTTGATCTCACAGAAGTTGAGAATAGAGTGGTAGTTACCAGAGACTGCAGAGAATATTGGAGAAGGAAAGATGGAGAGTTTGATCAATAGGTACTAAATTATACTTAGATAGGCATAAGACATTCTGGTATATTATTGCACAGTTGAATAACTAGAGATGATATTTTTTTATGTTTCAGAAGGCCATAAGAAAGGATTTTCAATGTTTTTACCATAAAGAAATTATAAATGTTTGAGGAAATAGATATGTATAATCCAATTTAAACACCACACAATATATACATGTAACAAAATATCACGTTACCCCGTAAATATATATTATTTGTTTATGTGTCAGTTAAAAATAATAATAAAATAACAAATGAGAAGTTATCAATAAGAAAAATTATATGCTGAGGTTATGGAAGTCCACAGTGAGAATAAAATTTTCTATCCATGAAATAATGAAGAAAGAAAAAGAAATTCATGCTAGTTTTATTGTCACACCTCATACTGGAAAAATTACAGCCATAGTGTAACATAAGTGCTTCATTAAGATGTAAAAGGCAGTAAGTTAGCTTGCATATGTATAGGAAAAAAGCATGGTGTATTTAGGTTTTACTACCATCTGTGATTTTATGCATCCACTGGGGGGTCTTGTACATATTCCCTATGAAAGGGGAATCACTTGAAAAGGCTTATCAATTTAGGCATGTTAAAAATCCTTGTTCTCCTCCTCTTTGGGTTTTGTATTCCATTATTCTGCACTTGAAGAGACTCCGCTCTATGTGAATCAGATGGAGTAATTGAGGTCAGTAAGTAAAGTAGGAAAAGAAGAATAATATCCCTACATAGACAATGTTGAAAATGGCAGAGGAAGAGGAGTTGGGGGTTAGGGAATAAAAGTTTATGACCTCTCTCTCTTCTTGCCTAAACCCAGCTGTCGGCTAGAGAACAAAAGAGTGACAGTGCCTTCGGAAAACAGCTTCACAGGACATGAAACAAGGCACAGAATGGTAGAGAATGGATATGATAGGACAAATGGAGAATAATCAGCACAGTTTTCAGGGAACTATAACATTTTAATTTTCAATAAATGGTTACTTAGGAACTTGGATATCTTTGCTGCAGAGGAGCTATTTTTGGGATTCAAGGTATCATGAAGGAGTTAAGGAGCAGTATCAATGATAATTCTGAGAAAACCCCAGTAACTGTGAAATGAGTGGAGAATACAAGTTTACTTATCAAGATGTTCTGAATTTCTCTGATGGGCAATTTCAGAACTACTGGACATCTTATTTATTATAAAATTGTATCTCAAGAAGCCAGTGCCAATTTTAACCTCTACCTCCATGTTCTTTGTCTCTTAGTTGTTAAACACAGAATATATAGGTTGCATACCTGTAAGTCAGAGAGTTATTTAAATTTATGAAAAGACAGGCCAGACAACAGGCTTTATGGCCAGAGTTTATGTTTAGTAAGTAGTCTCTATAACAACAGATGAAACCAAAAGAAAAATTTTGCAAATGAGTCTTATAAAATCTAGCCAGCTTTTTTACATGAATCTCTTTAATTAGTACTTGTTTTCTAAGGTACTGTTTCCTACTGACACCTTCTTTCCCCCAACTTTATCTCTTTTTTTCTAACTATTAAAAGTTTATTTAACAAAAAGTTTAATATGAAAATGTATATGACCTGATTTTTATATCATAGTTAAATAGGCTCTTTGAAGAGAGGACATGTATTTCTCTGCTGAACAGCCATTATTTATACCCATTCCAAGGATTCTAACATGATACTATTTCCTCATATTACCATCATTCCAATATTGTTCAGTTGCCCACTAGTTGCCATCTTCACATTTATCTATCACAAGATTCATAATGGAGTCAAATCCCTGCAATATTCCCTGGACATGTCTGCCACCATTTAATTTCAATAACTTCTCCGTATTTTTTTTTTGTGAGGGTTAACTTTGCTCATTTTGTCTACTTGGCAAGCACAGAGATGCTTTGAAATGGAATTGGCGGCCTACTTCACCAATTTTATCATTTTTAAAAGAAAACACAATACATTAGAACTTGCCAAATTTGTATTATATTGATAAATGAGATCAATAAATTGATAACAGCTTTGTGAAATTTTAAGTGAGAAATAGTAATAGCATAGAAAATTATAGAATTTTTGTTCAGTTGAATTTGTTCTAAATGGTTCCACTTAAGTATTTAATGGCATGTCTTTTTATTTTCTAATTTTATTATTTTATCTTTTTATTTTATAATTTTATTGTTTTGCAGAAGACTCACTCAGGTATAGCTTATAGGGCCTAGATAAGATCATTTAAATGGAAGTTATACACAAAGAGGTTATTTAGTATATGGATGGAAAGAACCAAACATTTGCTTAATAGCCACCTTCAGTTATTCTATAGACTAATAATAATTATACTTTCAGATCCTGGTAGGAAATGAGTTTGATCTAAAACATTAAGGATTTAGGCTGTGAAGAGATTTGTTGGTTATCTTTTACCTGCCTCTTTGGGGATAGGAGTGGGAAGTGCTGTGGTATTGTAGGATGGAAGCTTTTCCTCTACCTTCCTGGTTTTTTGCATGAAACCTATAAATTAAACTGAGAAAATATCAACAGGAGAAAAAGTTACAATTTTTACTGATGTTGATATTTTCAATATTAGGTCCACAAGGGCTATACAGGAAAAAATATATATATTTAAAAATCCAAAGAGGCAGTTAGACTTGAAATCTTATATACCATCTTAATAAAAGGGTGATAAATTATGAAGTAACTAGGGGTGGTAAATTATGGGAAGATAACTATATGGGGGAACTAATGGTAGATTAGGGTTTTTAGTAAAGCTTGTTCTGTTGTTGTTTGCAGTAGAAATTGAACCCATGGCCTTGCACACACTATCAAGTTCTCTACCACTGAGCTATAATCCCAGTTCTTTTCCTCTCTTCTTTTATTAGTCAGAGTCTCTGATGGTTACCCAGGCTGGCCTTGAACTTTATTTCTTATGCCATGGCCTCCTGAGTAGCTGGGATTACCCTCAGGTCCAGCTAGTGAGCCTGTTTTATGCAGACTCATCTTGGTGCCAACTTTCCATCTTCTTTATTTCCATAAAACACCACAAAAGGAGGGATTTATATAAGGCAGTCTTCATTTCTCAGAAGTTTCTGCTTTTTTATTCAGATAAAGGAAACTTTAAGAAGACTTTCTCCACTTGTTGATTCTTGGTTCACAAAATAATCCATATTCCAAAGTGACATATTTTGGGATGACATATTCTGATCTCCTTTAATATATAAAGAAGAAAATGTAGAAAAGAAAGCATTAACTGGTAACTCTGCAATAACAAACAGAGCGATTCGGCATGTTATTTAATTTGCTCAGTATGTTAATTTCATTAACTAGAAAACAAAGCAATTGGGTTATATGATCTCGTTGGATTCTTACTACTGTAAAATTAGTGGATTATTTTTCTTAAGGATCTTGAATATTGTCATTCTTGGATACATGTAATTTCCCCTTTCTCTCAAAACATTGCAGACCTAGGATTTGTCCGATATACATGAAAATTCTGCCAAGTATATCGGAAATAAATAAATAAATCATATATATATATATGATTTATTTAGTAATCCTAACATTGATTGAAGGGAATTTATTTGGGGAATCTTAGGAGAGAAATCTTGTAGTAAGTGGAAAGACCCCAGAAATATTTGTTGCTGTTTCAATATCTGGGTATTTTAATTGTCTGACTAATGTTTCCCAAGGAATTTGTAACAATTTCTGGCTTAACCACTAAATCTGAGTTAACCCAGACTAACTTGCAAATCAAAATCCTCCTTTCATTGTTAGTCTACAGGGTGCTGTGGAGATAACATGGATTTTGGAGTCACTCAACACTGGGAGTTCATAATCCCAATCTGCCATTTTCTAATTTTTTGGATATAGGTTAACTTTTCTGTACCCTAGAGTTCTCATCTATAAAATAGCAATATTTGAGTAATTACTTAAAATTATTATAGGATGACATTAGATGACAAATGGGAAGAAATTTTTATATTCCTCATAATGAGAGTACCTGAGATCTGTGTATCTCTTTACATTTTATGAAACACCATCATACAAGCAATTTCATTTAGAGTGTAGTATGGATTTGCTTTATGGGGTAATATATCACTTAGGTATGAAGACCTGAGCTGGACTTGCTGCATTGGGACTCTGGAGCTTGCCAGATGAAAAACTTTAGCTATCTTAGGGATCTCTTCTAAAACATCCTTTTATATTTTACAGGAATCTGAATTTCTGTGTTTGGAGTTTGATGAGATCAAAGTCAACCAAATCTTGAAGAAGCTCTCAGAGGTAGAAGAAACTATCAGCACACTGATGCAACCAGCCTAACTGAAGTTGATGTAGGAAAGACTTGGAGTTATTGAAACAATATTCACAATCCTTCCCTATTGACCTTTTTAAAATCTTGTTCCCCTATTGATATTAAATCCTTAAAAGTCAAATCTTGCCTGCTTTTGCTTGCCAGGATTTCTTTCACTCCCTTTCATTCACTCTTATAGTTGTTCTGGTGTAAAGGTTCTCATACTTCAGCATGCAGAAGAACTACAAGGTGTATTTTCTGAAAGCATAGATTAGACTATTTTAAAGATGGGGGTACTGGGGATGGAACACTTATTTATCTTGTAAAGCCTTGGGTTCTATCCTCAGTACCACTACCACCACACAAAACCAAATAAAAACAAAAAGAAAAAACAGGCTTTTAGGGCCTTACCCTCAGAGACTTGGAATCAGGATTGGGCTATGTGGGGTCATCTTTGGTAATCCTTCCTTTGGTTATTCCTGAGAAAAATTTTAGGAGTTTATATATGTTAAATCATGCAAGAATTAGTAAAGGGGGAAGAAAACATTTTAGTCATGCAAATATAGTGTTCATCAAAGTGTCATGTTGGGGCTGGAGCTGGGGCTCAGTGGTAGAGTGCTCGCCTGGCATGCATGAGGCACTGGGTTTGATCCTCAGTACCACATAAAAATAAAATAAAGATACTGTGTCCACCTAAAACAAAAAAATAAATAAATATTTTTTAAAAAGTATCATGTGTTCTAAGCTACGGCTTAGAGAAAGCTACCTGAACCAGAAGAGATTTACCTGACCTTAATAAGATTCTCCTCAAACTGATGCAGATAATTGAATTAGTTCTGCCTAAGTTTGGGGGGATTTTGTTTGATCTCAGCTACTGAGACTTGGACCTTTCTGGAGCATAAAACTAAATTGGCCTCCAAACAAAGGGACTCCCTTCCTTCTCTTGACTCAAGTTGGGATTGTGAGGAGGGGAAAATGTCTACTTAGAAGTCTTTTACCTCAGAAAAATTTACCTGACTTATCAAACAAAGCCTCCTCCAGAACATGTCTTCAAGAAAAACTAGTATAATAAAAAGTAGGTCCTAGTAGAAAAGGGGGTTAGTCAACTTTCCATCACTGAGACAGAAATACCTGAGATAATCAAAAGGAGGACAGAAGGGGCTGGGGTTATAGCTCAGTTGGTAGAGTGCTTGCCTCACATGCACAAGGCCAGCACAAGTTCAATCCCCAGCACCACCAAAAAAAAAAAAAAAAGGAAAGACTTATTTTGGCTCATGATTTCAAAGGTCCATGGTTGCTTGGCACCATTATTTTTGGCCCTGTGGTGAGGCAGAATATTCAAGGTGAGAAGCACATGTTGGAGCAAAGCTGCTCATCTCATTATGGCCAGGAAGCAAAGAAAAAAGCCGGATAGAACAGGGGTGCGTACTCCATAATTTAACTTCCTTTTACTAGGTCCACCTCCTAAAGGTTCCACTGCCTCCCTATAGCACCAAGGGCTGGTGATCAAGCCTTCAACACATGAATTTAGGGGACATTTAATATCTAAACCATAATATGTTATCAAACATAAAGAATATTCCAGGTGAAGGAGGATGTCAACCAGCATATTGAAGCTGTAGCCCTTTTTGAACAGCTTTGTCATTTAATACCGATGATATTTGGAAATCTCATTTGATTTTGGGATATAATGTGTTCAAAAAATGTGGTTCTCTTGGTCTGTGGTTGCAGCATATGTCAGTTCTAATGAGTTTATTCTAGGACAAGCATAAGTCCTTTTCTGTTAAGGAGCTTCTCTTAAATCGTTTAGAGACATTTTAAGAGCTTTTCCAGCACTCAAACTGAAAATATTGGCTTCTTCCTGATTGAAACCATCCCAGCAGTTAGCAAACAATGACCAGAGGTTTTAAATGTAGCCCCTATGGGCCCCTCAGAAAACATCTTGAAACAGTACTTTAAGTAGATTCAGAAAAGACATGTGGTTTGGCAAAATAAAAAATAAAAATAAAACAACACTATTAAAACCTGCTTTCTGATCCCCAGGCTACCACCATGTGATCAAGGACACATTAGATAATTTCTCCTGCTGTAAAATGGAGGAGAGTATCTCATCAGATAATAAATTCCAGATGGTCTTAGAAGGAAGAAGTATAGCTACCATATTAATATTGACTTAGAGAGCCCATGAAAGTCTGTGGAAGCATGAAGGAATGGTCCATGGGCCACTTAGTGTTGTTCGAATCTGTTTAAGTTATCCTGTGAAAGTAATAGTCACAAAAGTGGGCATGAGTTTTTTTGTTTATTAAATCCCCAGTCCCTAGGTTGTTAAAAACTTATCATTAATGTTTTTCAAAATAACTAAAAAAAAAAAAATGCCAAAGATGGTCTCCACACTTAATACTGACCACTTTTGAATGAAAGTTGTTTTGAATAGGATGTGTTTTATATTTATTGATTTTTTATTGTAAAAGGAGTATATTTTAATATAGTCTACTGTAAAAATTTAGAAACAAACAAGAACTGTGAAATGACCCATCAACCTTATGTACAGAGATAATGGAGAGAACTATGAAAAGAGTTTACTTTCCATGAATAAATTTCTGGAAGTGGAATATGTGGTTTTTAAGATTTTGATAAACATTGCCCAATTGCTCTTCAGAAAGGTTATATAAATTTGTATTCCCTCTCAGAAAGTATGAGAATAAATCACTCTATTTCTTACCTGATTGTATATTATTTTTTATATTTTGTGAAACTAAGATTTTTTTGTAAATTTTTGCAAGAGACATTTACAATGCAAGCATGAAGAAAGGACCTAGGAAGAGAACTAAAGATCCCAGAGACTCCATTACTCCACTACAAGGTTTTCTACTTTGGTGATTCTAGATTTAAACTATTTCAAGTTCAGAAAATGAAAGACCAAAATAATTCTCAGCCTGAATCAGGTTTTGTCAAAATTACTTCAGCAATAAGCATTTTAGCTTCAGTCTGTAGAAAGAATCCAGCCAAGTAAAAATCTAGTCAGAAAGTAACTCCAGACTTTGGTAGTTTCATGTTGATAATGAGCAGGTTTTGGCCTTGTTCTCAGGGCTGGCTTTCTTGGAAGCGCTGGTTCCGATTTATCAGCTTTATCAGTGGAGACCTGAATTCCACCAGTGTGGCCTCCACTTTCCTTTATATAATTTCTCTTTTCCCAGTCTTATTTTAATGATGATTCAAAAAGAACTACAGCATTTTAAAAAACCTTATCCTAACTATTCTCCTATGAATGCAAGAAGGCGGTGAAAAACAAAGGATGACACTGAGTATCTGAAGTCTTAAATAGCTCACATCATGTGGAGCTATTAATTGTTGAAGCTCTTTTTTTAGACCTGGGTAAAAATTTGGAAAACAGAATATAAATATCAAAGGAAAATATCAAAGGAAAATAAATGTTAAACAGATGCTAGAAAATAATTGTTTTCTGAAGTGAACAGTAAATATCTAGACCAGTGAAAAGGACCAGGATACAGAAAGAATCCTAGGATCAGCTGAGAAATGATTGGATATTTTCCTAAGAGAACAGAATGCTGTACCCCTTTTTGGGACATCTGCTTTCTTACAATTCTTAGCTTTCCACCTTTACAGCTAAGGTGGAAATTTAAGGTGGCATATTTTAGAAAGGAAAACCTAAATAGAACATAATTAGCTTATGCTTAACTCTAATTATAGGGTGTATAGTTTTAAACTTCAAAATTTGAGAAATAGCAATTTTATCTAAGTATGGTCAATTTGCCCTTACATGGGGATGACCCTAATTGTCTCACATAACATCAAGCTGTATGTCACACTGAGCTAGCCTTTATTGCAAAGAAATCTGCTTAGGCCTGCTGCCTGTCAGATAAGGGTGCCAGCTAACAGAACTTAAAAGTTCAGTACATAAATTATCAGAATAAATTACTAAAGCTGCACATGAGTAGATAGTAAAATATGCATATTTGCATCATTTATTCACTAAGACCTGTAATTTGGGCTTTTGTTTTTCTTTCACCTACTCTTGACTGGTTTTGGTTTTCTGGTGGTGTGAGGGATTTAAGTTCTGTTGATTCACAGGATATAAGTGGGGGAGAGACAAAAGGGAGAAATATGAATTTGATTGTTCAAGTGGAAGAAGATAAAACTGTTGTTTTAAAAGAATTTAAGGATGAAATATTTTTTTAAAATCTCATTCCTTTAATGTTACCACACAGTTTCTATATTAAAGAAGTAGAAATTTGGGGATCATATGTGATTTTTATTCTATTTTTAGAAACATGGCTAAGAATTGGCATAGATCTTAGAATGACTGGTTTGTAAGTTCTGGTGGAAGCTATTTTAGAATTTTGTCAATAATGAGGAAACATCTGGGTAGAAAGGGCAGAGGACTTACACAAGTGCATGGTCAGGAAGAAAGTTCAGGGCTACTTTCTTTTATTTTTATTTTCTATCTGCTAGATCCTTCAAAAGAATGTGCTTATAAAAATACCTATGTTCTGGCTCATTGTATTTAGATTTACATTTCCTATAGTGAAGATTTTTGTTTGTATAACAAATTGTAAATTCTGAGTCCACTTCTCTATGTGTCAGTCCCAGACACCTCTAAGCACTTAAACTTTGTGCTTGCTGAACTTCCTTAACTGCCATTTCAGTAGCTATATTTAGTAGACCTCCTTGTCTTCACATCTGTCTTTACAGGGCTGTGAACTCCTTAAGGGCAGGTACCATATATTATACATTTTTCTGTCCCCTTTTACCTTGTGGTATGCTCCAACTTACTCTACAAATGTGCATGTAATGAATGAGCACTAAGAGATGTGAAGTAGAGCACTTGCCTAGCATGGGCAAGGCTCTGGGTTCTAATTCCCAGTATCATGAAAAAAAAAAGAGAGGTTGGGGCTGTTGCTTAGTGGTAGAGTGCTTGACTAGCATGCGCGTGGCACTGGGTTCGATCCTCAGCACCACATAAAAATAAACAAATAAAGGCATTCTGACAATCTACAACTACAATTTTTTTTTTTTTTTAAAGAGAGAGGGAGAGAGATGTGATGATTGAGCTGAGTATTACATTTGGTGAGGAAAGGATAGCATTAGAGTCAAACCTAGATCTGAATCTCAGTTCTTTATTT